CTTACAATATCTGACAACTTTGATGAGAGAAATAACGTGGACGGCAATTTGGCAAACAGGAGGAGAGCTGTGGAGGACAAAACCTGCACCTCTGATTCTGACTTAACCATCGAGGCATCAAACACTTATGAGTCAGAGCGGCATAAAATCAAGGAGCATCGTTTGGATCGAGAATACATGTTGATGAGTGAGCAGATCATTTAATCATCATTATCATCAGTATGAATTAGATGAAAAGGTTACACAATGCATTCAGTGGTCAGTTACCATGAGTAAGATAATCAAGCAGGAACACCACGGACAGCCAAAAACAAAGGTTTTCTCAAAATCTTATATCAACACAACATATTCGTTAGTATTTCAACTAAAACCTTAAAATCTACAGAGAAATTGTGGTTCAGTAAACTGACCGTTTAACACTGAATAGACTTGAAGGTAGAGGGAAATAAATATTATTTTCAAACGACAAACTTTCCGGTTAGTAAACAACTTGGTCCAACTTGAGCTGCAGCCACCCAGGAAGTGGTTTTAAGATATGTTTTATTTAAAAAGGAGTCTCGAGGTGGTCGTAAGCCAGTCTTACTGTGTTTAAAACCAAGACAGTTCTTTTCTTTTGCAGCAAAGAAGCATATCTATATCTGTTTTTTAACTGCCTTAAATATTATATTGTTTGCAGGTGCTTCTGAGAGTGAGGTCGACAAAGAGAATACTACTGCATCAAACAGAAGACTGAAGAGGAAAGCTGTGGACGAAGGTCTGAAATGTGTCTCCCTCTGAAATAATTAAATATGGCTAAGAACATGGCTGTGAGCTAAAACAATGCACAACTCATGAAACCCTGTTAGGAGCTGACATGTTGCACTAGTCGTACTTAAAAAGTACGTTAACCTTTGTCCTTCTTATTTCCAGACCCTGGACTGCACACATCACTGAAAAAGCTGAACCCTCTTGGCCCTCTTGCTGCTGACAGACGGCACACCCAGTGTAAAGAAGAGCAGGACCACATCGGCACAATAAAGATCAACTCAGTCTGTTCAGTGGCCTCCCCTGCTCCATCGCCACAGGTAACACTGATCTCATGTGACCATTACAAAACTGACGTATTCTCTGACATAATAAACGCTGGTGTGTGTTCTTTTAAAACTACCCCGACTACTTGATTAATCGAGTGACAGATTATTATATAATAAGTTCATTATTTTTCAAATAAAAATGTCCCACATTAAAATTATAATTGTAAACTTTAACATGTTCAGATTGTTTCAGATTGCAAAAACAAAGATTAATTGATTCATGCAAATATTGTAAAGCCTAAAGCTGCAGCTCTGATGTATGTTGGGCTGACGTTTATTAATCCAACCTGAGGAAAAGTTATGTTTTAAGTGTTATTCACTAATCCATGTTAGAAAATTCCAGAGTTGGTTTTGTTCATCTGGTCACAGGATTTTTAATGGGAGAAATGTTTCACTGCTTATCCAGGTGACTTCTTCAGTATCAGCTGACCACAACCTTAACAGTGCAGTACTTAAGCAGAACAGCTGCACAACAACTGAAACCAGCACCACTGACTAACAATGAGCCACCAGTTCAGTTTCAGGATCGTCAGCATGCAAACTGGTCCCACGAGTACCAATCGTTTAGAGGTGTCATTGCCTTTTCACATAACAGCTCCCCACTCAAACCAGGATGTGCACATCGTCACTGAAAGAGTTGCCACTGGCCTGTAGGTGTAAACAGAGTCCAGGCCTGATGAGCTAGCTCTTCTGC